GGTAGACGGTGTTTCGGAATGCGTAGCACATGACCGAGCCATCGTAGTCGATGATGCTGGATGTTTTCCCGGATTGAGGTGCCTGCAGCACAACCAAATACCCGTTTCCTAGTCACCTCGTTACTGGCACGCTGACGCCATCCGAAACCAACTACGCTTCTGAGGCATCGGTGGTCGAAAACCTGAAGACGTCTCACATCATCTGTCCGCAGAGGCCATGCCTCGCACCCATACAACAACACAGCCCTCACTATAGCCTGGTACACACGACCCTTAAGATCCAGTGAGATGCCTTTAGTGACGCAAACTCTTGATGTGTCCCGTTTCAGGGTCCCCATTCAGGGAGACGGCAATGACAAACGCAGCTGAGTTTGCTTTCACACTTCGCTGCCAGATTATTTTTTGATTTTTCTTTCGCGCGGTTGTGTTAAAAGGATCCTTCGGGGAAGTCGGCCGACTAGCATACGAAGCACGTGGCTAAACCAGCGCAACCTACGGAGTGTGATCCGTTCACCTATCGTGGGTGAGTTATTTCTCCCTAAAACCATTGGACATACTTCAGCAGTACTGGTCCGAGGTTCCAACCAGACTCCTGCAATGCTCCAAAAACTTCCTCGGCGCGCAGCGGCCAGGACTCTGATTCATAGAAGAATAATATGGAGCTCACCGCAGCATTGAGAACTCAATCACCGACAGATAAGGTGATGTCACGCGTCCGCCACGTGTGATGCAGTTTCACAAAAGCTGCTCTGGCCTTCCCAATCTGGATCTAAATACCGCCTTTCGCCAGACCACCGTAAATTATACAGCTACCCGCGTACACGAACTTGTCTACTATCTCAATGGACTCAACCGCAAGCATGAGATTGGGGTTTGAGTCCACCCAGTTTTGCAGTGACACCTTACACTTTGCGGGGGTGAAGCGCATGCCAAGCCGTGAGGCAGAATTACTTATATTGTCTGCATTACTACGGCGTCATATATAAGAAGGGCTATGTCGTTTGCATGCTCCATATCTGTAAGTGGACGCCCCGTGAGTACCTCTATCTCACAGGCATTAGAGGTTGATAGTGAGTCTCCCATAAGTGTATTAATGGCGAATTTGGAAAGTAAAGGTGAGAGAGGGCAGTCTCACCTGACACCATTCGATGTGATGAAGTTAGGCGAGAGCTTCTCGTGGACCTTCACATGTCCGCAGGGGTTGGCGTACAGTGGCTTAAGGAGGATCAAGAATTTATGCGAGACATTTTTGTTCCATATACACTGCCGTAGTGGCTGACGGACCATAGACTCAAAGGCAGCTTTCCAATAAAAGAAAGCAACCGTTGTTTGGCACTGAAAACACTGTCGCCATTCCCGAATCTGTCAGAGGGTGAAAATATGATCGACGCATCCTCTTGCAGGACGGAGCCATGCTTGGTTTCCCGGATCTGTCACTCTCCGTGTTCAGTCAACCTTCGAAGGATAAGACTAGAGAACTTTCGATGCCACAGCTACCAGGATGGTGCCACGGTGGCTTATACACAACGTCCGTGTTTCCTTTTTTGAAGACAGGAATAAGTTTCCATATGCCTCATTCTACAGACACTTTTTCTCCGCTTCATATCGCACCAATAAGCTTCGTTTTATGGGTCACCAGAGATTCTCTGCCTTCTTTGGACGAACCGTCATGGTGCCTGCTCAATGCGCATATTTCATACATTAGTTCTTCTTCCAGTGGGCGATTAAGGTGTACATTGCATTCGCCCGCACCCACCGTCTTCACAGGATGTGCTGCAGAAGGCCAGCTAAACCGTTCTTCAAGTGCTTCGCCCGCCTTTCCATCCGACGTTTTCGAAAGTGAAAAAATGTGCCACCTCATTCAGTCAAAGTTCCACTAGCCGCTGATTACTTAGGGCCAGTCGACCACACCAAGTGATGCAGGTCACGCCTGTTTCCCCATCTTGAGAACTTCCGATGTCCATCAGGCCTCTCGGTCTTTCCTTACGTTCCTCACTATTCGGAGTTTGAGAATTTGCGTGCGCCGTCAAACTCGTTGCCTCCTTGAATGGATTTGTTGGCATCTATCATGGATATCGATATCGATGCCATACAGTGGTCGTATCGAAGAAGTCGGGTAGAAAATAGTGAACGCCGCCAGCATAGCGCCTTTCACGCTTTGCTGTGCTCACTACCAATACAGTATTGGCTTACTGTGGAGCGTTGTTGAGCTAGCTCAGATCAACACTGTCGAGCTATGGTAGTTATTCGAAGATGGCGGATTAGAATACTTCTTGTTGAATTGCAAGGGTCTGAGATGAAACGAACTATCGGGCGTGCACGCACCATGGTGTGATCGCAATTAAGTTGCTTTCCCCAGGAGGGACGGTAATCTTGAATTCTGGCTCTCCACCAGTAGCAGACGGCCATGTGGTCCAACTGGGTCTAGGGTTGATTTTCAGTTGGTGACCGCCAGGTTACGCGATGCGAACGTTTGTGCCGAAAACTCGTACTGGCTAGAAACAGCTCATGATCAGCACAAAACTGTGGTCGCTCCCCATTGTCTGTGCGACAAGCGATGACTCCGAACCGCCCACCCAAATGTGATTTGTAGGAGCTCAGACGACCGGCTTGGGCATTCATATCGCCTGTAAGGATCACAATGTCAGTGATTCATGCTTTACGAAGGAGCTTGAATAACTCTTGATAGAAAGTATTCTTCTCAGCACCAGAACAGCAATCTATTGAAGCATTAGCCGACACCGCAAACAGGCATCGCTTTTAATGTCAAGATACACTGAGCTTGATTGAGCTGGATAACCGGACGGCGCAAAGACTACTGTTCGCTGGGATCCAATCCAGTAAAGCGCGTTCAGCACAGTGGCTAAGTGCAACTCCCACGCCATATATCTCGCAAGTCATCGACCCTGGATCACCGGACATACTGAGAGAAAAGTGTGAAAGAGGAATTCATTCTTGGCGTTTTGGGATGTATGCCTATGCTCGTGTGTGTTTTGAAGCTACAGCATACATCAATTTTGAAGGAGTATTAAGGTTGGGTGGGGATTGCCCATCCGCCAATTTGACATAGAGTAAGGGACGTTAAAAGCTTCTATTTAGAGAGGATCCCACAGATTTAGAAAGATGTTATTTTGTCTCTTGTTACGAAGGCCCATCAGTCAGCTAACTGACAATCGAATGGCCCAGCAAGATCTGCGTGTGTGGTGTGATGGGATTGAAAGGGACAGTGGTGAACACAGAACTGCGAACAAATAAAAATCCCCGGCTGCCCAGGCCGAGAAAGGGGTTTGTTGAGGTACCCCTTTTAATCAAAATTCCAACCCGCAAAGTAATGGGAGAATGTATGGCTTTATTCGTGGACCCTGATCCCAGCCTCTGACTCAAAAGTCTAAACCGCGAGGCAGCAGGCACCATGATTTTCTTTGGGACTGTGCCCGAAGCCGATCACTCAATGTTCTGAACTGCTCGGCTGCGTGAGGTTGGCCTAACCAAGGGCGCAGTAAGGTATTGTCTTATTCCCAGTGTAGCTGAGCACTGCAGGTGCCTTTTGAGAAGCCCAAGACTCTTTGACTTTAAAAGTATTTCGACCGTATGGATAAGGCGCTGTCGGTTACGGTCAGCAGTAGGGCGATCAGTGTGCGGATTTTAGGGCCAACCTTTTCTAACCCGTCCTTTTCCAAGGGAAGAGAGCATCGCTGCCTTCATGTGTTGCAGGAAATTTCTGTCTACCTCCGGAACCTCGAGAGTCAAAATGCTCCAGGACATTTGCTCACAAAAATTGAACATCTGGACAATATGGCACTCAGATCCTTGATTCAACACCTCCAAAAGTGCAAACCACCTTAATAACCTGAATAACTCTGCGACACGGTTTGACATGCGATTCACAGCTGCCAAGTGTCAAGTGCTCCCACAAGACTATGTGTGATCAAACCTAAACCTAATGCTTAAGGAAGAGATAATCGAAGTGGTAGATAAATTCGTTAACCTGCGTAGTTGTATAAATTTCGGTGAACCGGCTGAAGATGAGATTATTTTTAGAATCGGGAAATCCAGGGCAGCTTTCGCTAACCTATGGCGCGACGCCGTGAATTTGGCCTACGCTGCGGCTATGCAATCCATATCGCTTTACAGATCATATACGTGGTCTCTACGCACATAGGACACGAAAGATGGCAGTATTTGACCATCGGTGTCTCCAGAACACTGGTTGAGTCTGGTGGAAACATCGGATTGGAAATGTTGAGGTAAGCCAGACGGTCGTAAGAAGGAACTCTCTCGCGACAACTGATTCACTCACGCTT